TTAAACACAATATTAAATTGGTACTTCATAAATTTTAAAGTCATTAAAGTCACTCTTAGCCAACGTGACTTGATTCGTAAACTAAAGCGAGTTATTGCAAAAACAATTGGTCGTGTCTCTGCAACAGGAGGATAATGGAAAATCTATGGGTATATCCTCTTAATTTTTACCAATTGATTTGGGTGATGTGGCTTTACAACCTGTTTTGCCATCCAGAGATCAACTTTTGATCTTGAGAGCTGTATCAAATGGAAAAGGAAAAAAGAGATTTGTTGAAGTAATTTTGACTTCTATATGAATTTTTTTAAAAAAAATGAATGTAAAATTTTCTTATATGCGATTATTTAATTACAGACTTGGAAACTCGGTGCACTAGTAAATATCTTGGATGTAACAGATATTCATGGAGAGTTTTATACTGATGGTAATTATTCATGCAATAAAAATTATTGTTTTGCAACCGAATTATCCAACATAACACTATTTAAGGCGATTTTGGTGGTCTGTATTGGTCAAAGGATGAGCAAAAAGCTGTTTATATCGCAGAACAAAAGGAATTAGATGATTCTGATGACCGGGTTAGTTTAAAGAATACTTTCTATAATAGTTTACATTTAAATAATCATTATTGACTTCAAATATGACAATTTACTATATTCTAGAAATTTGATTACATACAATCTTATGGGGAAAGATTTAGTAATAAATGTATCCCTTTAATTGTTGTATTTAACGTTTCAACAAATGAAGCAAAAGTTTTACCAAAATTCGACAAAATTGATCCTGGACAGGTTTATATTACTATTATATCTGGTTTATATGAAAATGTTATACCATAATTTCACATTATTACATTATTATTATAAAAGGTTCAATTTGGCTCGGAAGATAAATCTCTTATTCTTATTGGATATTACAATGAACCACGACGTTTTGGCATTGCTGCATGTATTAATCGAGTGTGAGTTTAATAATTTGATCGTGAAGAAGTTTAAATCAACATAAAATGAATAACATTGACAATATCAAATTGCAGTACTGGAATATATCAATGTCAGTTAGATGGATCTAACCTAGGTATAAATAGATGCGATTATGTTCATTTATGCGCCATCCCATTGGCTAATAAAAAGCTTATTTACAGAACATCTAAGCAATTATGTTGAACATGCTAGATCACGGTTAAATTTGTCAGGAAATAGTTTAGTAAGTTATGTTTCTTTTTTCAAGAATTATTCCGACTACTGTATATAATTAATTAATTATTTTTTATTCTTTATCGATAAATATTTTATCTGTCTAATTCAACCGGTGGTCCACATAGCTGGTGTTCAGAACTTTATGAGGTAAATATACGTCTCTTAATCAAATTCTCTCATTATTTGTATTAATAATTTGATATTCTATATTTTTATTATTCTTTGCAGTCCAATTTTTCATCAAGGAAAAATTGTCTTATTGTACCTATAGTACGTTTTCCTTCACTATCTTTTCATAATAACTTTCCTGGAATATATAGAGAAAATATCCCTTTAAAGGCTTTTATTACAATTGATGGTGTTGAGTTCATTTTTATGCACAGTAATTGGCGTAGTCAAGAGG